AATTTACAATTTAATTTGAAGTTGAAGGATCGTCTTCAAAATTAAATGTTAATCGATTAAATTCATCGATCCATTCTTGGCTTGCCGGCGAAATTTTATGTAGTAGACGTTGATCGGCCCGATCCCAATCCTTAATGCAAACTAAGGCTTCAACAATATCCCTTTGCAATGCATTCCGGCGTTCCTCAAGTATTCTTCATGTCGTACTGAAGGCTTGTCCGGATGAAATAGTGGAGATTGGGATCGAAAATATATCCATTGCCAATCGAGTTAGGATTGGTCAAGTTAATACCCGTGCCCTCCACTATTGAACTAAGTCAAACAATTCTGTCGTGCCGTCGACTACTAAGCCTTCACTGAGGTACGCCATAAGCTTATTGAAGCTACCGCTGCCGCTGCCACTGCCACTTGTCGACGAAGATTCACTCTCAGCTTCTGTTTGAGTTGTCTTCTTCTTCTTCTCCAACCCGAAAACATTCAAGATGAATGCGGTTTTCGTCTTGTTGTTGCAAATAATTTTGACTATGCTTGCAAGTGCACAAGTCGTACAAGTAATAAAGTGGTCCAAAGACTGATATCGTCCCACGAGGATTGACGTTAAGAATATAAACTAGCTATTGTGATTATCATATCTTAACTTTATCTAAGCGATCAAATTTGAATGTGATAAACTCAAAGAAAAACTAAAAATAAAGGAAAGCTAAATTAAAAGAAAAGGTAACAGTTATGAATAGCACGAGCTGAAATTAAAATTGAAAATCAATATGATGGCAATGTTAGGGTTTTGACTTCACTCTATTGCAATTATGTTTTTCTGTAGTCATGTGCCTAACCTAGCTCAACGTTCTCAAGAACCTAGAGTGATGTGTATCCTTATACCCTCTCTCGAGTGTTGCATAAAGAATATGTAGGTGATATCAAGCTTCTATCTTTATACAACTATTCACCCCTACCTTCATTAAGTTCCACTCTAGAAGTAATTTCTGGAATTTCACTTCTCAATTTCACAACCTAAAATTGTTTCGGCTACCTAGGCAATGTTTATCTCTCGACCTCACACCAACCTAAGTTGTTCTACCCATTTCTTAATTGCTTGAACGTTCCCCTCTCGAGTATTAATCCTCACAATCTAAATTTGTCCAATTCACAATCTCACAAAGCATAGCAATATATAAATCATGAATTTGGCAGCAACAAATCAGAATAGAACACGAAAGAAACGAAGAACTTTAATTAAATGCACATTAAAACGTAAAAACAATAATCACAAATAGAGATTCATCTAAACCCTAACAATTAAGAAAATTAGCCACACATCATGTGGCTCACAATCTCCAAATAATATTCGAAATCTAGAAAAATACAGAAAGAAAAAGAAGAAGAGAATGAAGAACGCTTAGAATTCTTGAAGAATCGCTCCAATTTCCCTCTAGAATCCTCTCCAATTCAGATTTTCTTCCTTTGCAATTTTTGTTTTCATTTTGCTCCTCCTTCATTCAGTTTTCAGCCTCTATTCCTTATATTCCACGTCCATCACGTCCCCAAGAAGCCAATTCTGACTTTCCATAAAAATCCCCGCACCAAACTAGGGCAAAACACGTGTTTCTAATAAAATCGGGTAACTCAGGCGACATATCCCCTAGAATAGGCGACATATCCCCTAGAATAGGCGACATATCGCCTAAAGGCAGCGACATATCTCCATAAAGGAGGTGACATATCGCATCCCTAGCTGGTCCTTCACACAGGTTTGCTCAATTTTGCTCCTTTTCGCGCCGTGTCGCTATCTCTAGGCGCCGTATCGCCTCATTCTCTGTCTTTTTGATCCAAAATGCCTAAAAACTCAGCGATTTCACCCATTCCTGCACACTCAAGGGAGAATCATCAAATCCACATAAAAACTTGAGGAAAAACACGCAAAAACTAGCTAAAGAAGTAATGAATGAGTGCATAAATTACACACTCATCATACGCCATAAGCTCATTGAAGCTACCACTGCCGCTGCCACTGCCACTTATTGACGAAGATTCACTCCCAACTTCTGTTTGAGTTGTCTTCTTCTTCTTCTTCAACCCGAAAACATTCAAGAATGAATGCGGGTTTTCGTCTTGTTGTTGCGGTTCCTGTACTCTAGGAGGTACTCTAAACCTAATCTCATATTTACTATAGATCGAATATATTTTTTCCTTTATTATTGGATATTGGTCTGAACAATTGATGCCTAAAAATTCACTTAAGTTTTCTAAACCACTTTCTAAACCATAAACTAGGATAAAAAATAATACCTAAACCATACAACAAAGGCAACTTAGACCAATATTTTATAAATTTCTTTTCCATAGAATAGATAGGAACTGCTAAGATTGGGTCCTCCCTATATTCGCTAAATAAAATACTAATTCGTAAAAGTTCTTCTAAAGTTAAAGGTGATGTTGTGTAATATGTTCCACTAAGTTTTAGAGTCACTTCATGAAACCTACCTAAAAATTGATACAAAACTTCGGTAATTTACCAATCATATGCGTCTATATGTCTTACTCCTACTTTTACACACATATAGTTTGTTATAGCATCCTCTATAAGGATGCATTGTTGAAGCATTATGTAAGTTGAGTTCCATCTTATAGACATATCTAACACTAATACTCTAGGAGGTATATTTAATACTTGTAAGAACCTAAACCAATCTTCTTGTCTTTGGTTACTATCTTGAATCCATGCAAGACTATCTCTAATTCTTTTAATGTGATTACCCATTTCTTTTAAACCGGATTTAACAATTAAATTAATTATGTAACATGCACAATGTTGGTAGAAAATAGTACCGTCATCGAATAAACTTAAATCATTTTTAAAGAACTCAATTACTTTTGTATTGACACTAGCATTATCTAATGTTATAGCCATTACTTTATCTCTTAATCTAAATTCATCAATTACATTTAAAATGGTATTATATATTAAATCCGCGCTATGTGATCCTAGAACACATTTAAAACCTAATATTCTCTTATCTAAATCAAATCCTTTAAAGTAATGTCCGGTTACAGCTAAATAATCTTTATTGGTAATGGCAGACCAAATATCTGCCGTTAACGCAACGCACCCGCTAGTCGAGTGTAAAATGTTTATTAATGTTTCTTTTTCTTTTTTAAATAATTTTAATAAATCTTTTCTAAGAGTAGTTTTTGAAGTGAACTGTACATTAGGATTATGTACAACCTTAATATATCGTTGCCAATTAGGATGCTCTACAAAACTAAGTTGTTGATCTAAAGTAGCTATCATTCGTGCAACTTCCATGCGATCTACTTGCAGATCGTATTTCCTTGTGGTTAGACCACCGGTTGCGCAATCAAAAGATAATTGTGTTTGGCGGAGTTCGGATCCGCCGGATTGGCTAAGCTTTTGAAGAAACTTTTCGGAGTGTCTTCTCAAGTGTGTGGTGCCATGAATAGTGGCACCTTGTAATTTAGATAAACAATATTTACACTGAGCTATATGTTTAGTGTTAACTTCATTGTCGATCTCCTCAATTATGTCGAAGTGATCCCAAACTGTTGATGTGTGCTTGCATTTCCTCCTAGAGGTTGCAACACTTGTAGACGCAGTCGTACTGGCACTCGCCGCTTCTCCACGCCCACCACCATTACGACTACGACCTCCAGTACATCCACCAAGGCTCGGATTAGTAGATTCTTGCGTAACAAATTCATTAGGGGGAAATTGCCCTTCTTCCACGTTGTGTTGAGAGAGAGAGCTTTAGGATAATGTGATAGTTTTTGGAAAAATTCTGATAGAGATTTGAGAGATTGAGAGAGATTGAGAGAAATTGAGAGAGATTGAGAGAAATTGAGAGGAATTGAGAGAGTTTGAGTGAGAAAAATGTGCCGGGGATGGAGTGTATTTATAGGGAAATTTTTGGGTTAAAAAATTAATTTTTTTCAAAAAATTCGGGGTGCAACGGCTACATTAGGAATTGGCGGGTCGGGTTCGGGCGGCAACGGTCAAAAAACTAGCCGTTGGATGACTTTTCGGGCATTCGGGCAAATTTTGGGTTTTCGGGCTTATTTTCGGGTCGGGCACCAACAGTCAGAATTTTGACCGTTTTTCGGGCAATTCGAGCAGTCAGGCGGTCGAGCATTCGGGCAAATCGGGCTTGGCCAGAAAAATTCAAAAAAAACTTCGACGGACGCCGGTTGACAGCGCAACACTGCGGCGGGCTCCGGCGTGGTGACCAAATTCGGGCTGTCCGAGCCCGAGCCCAAAAATCCAACTTTGGACGGACCAGCATATGGGCCTACCCGCCGAACCCAAAATATTCGGGCAACGGGCCAGCTCGCCGGCCCAAAGTTCCACCGCTATTCGTATATATAGTACAAGAAATTTTTTGCAAGAAAAAGCTATTAAAAACTAATGTGAACTCAATATTACCCCTAATGTTCAGTACTGTGGCTTTTGTTTTTGATTTGTTGTTGTGTTGCAACAAATTATTTCTCGAGGACATCAATAAAAAAGACAACAAAATATTTTCTTGAAAAAATTATGGCTTCAATCCACATCTTTATTTATTTCTTGTAATTGAAAAAATTATATACTGAAACTAAATATTTTAAAAAATGTTTCCTTTCACCTACAACTTATTCGTTTTATTTATTTGTTTATTTACAATGTTCTTTTCATGTACATGAACCTTTTTATACATTTAGGATTACGATAAGTTTGGGCACAAGTCTTCACATCATCTAGAACCTAAGGACAAATCCTTTTTTTTATATTTAATTTCCCAATTAATAGAACATCAACTTAAGGGCGCCCCTTTTTGACTAAAAAGCGACTGATTCAAAAATATAATTCCCTAACAAGACAAAACTAACATAGTTTTCTCACCAATGTATACGTCCAATAAACGGGGGATTCATCATGGAGGGCAACAAGCAGCCTTTGTCTATAAATAGCTTCTCTATATTCACATCTCTTCAACACAAAACACCTCAAAGTTCAGAACAACCCCTCCTTATATTTTCCTCTTTGATCCCGTTCAAAACCTTATATTATCATGGGTGTTTTCACTTTTGACGATGAGTTCACCTCCACCGTTGCTCCCGCTAGGTTGTTCAAGGCCTCCGTCCTTGATGCCGACAACCTTTTCCCAAAAATTGCTCCCCAAGCTGCTAAAAGTGCCGAGACTGTCGAAGGAAATGGAGGGCCCGGAACTATCAAGAAGATCACCTTTCCTGATGGTAAGTAGACTTTTTTTTTAATCTTCGTGATCCTATGTATTTAGGATTTTTATGACATATTTTACATATCTTCAATTGAAAGAGAGGAATAGCGTCTTTTTTTGTATGCTCATGATACTTACTATAAACTAGGAATGCAATTTCAATTCCTAATATATAGCAAATAATGTATATTAGTACATAAATAAAAATAGGCTTTTTCCATTTCAAACTCTCTTCTTTTCTTATTACAACCTATAATTTGATACCCTCTTAATATATAAAAGTACATCAAAGATGATTTATGCAAAATTTGATACCAAATCTAAATATTGAAGTGAAATTTCATTTGCAGGCAAGTATGTGAAGCAGAAGCTTGATTCAATTGACCACAACAACTTTAGCTACAGCCATAGCTTGATTGAAGGAGATGTTTTGGGTGCGGAAGTTGAGAAAATCTCTCACGAGACCAAGTTCGTTGCGACCCCAAATGGAGGAAGCATCATTAAGGTCACTACCAAGTTCCACACCGTTGGAGATGCCCAGTTCGATGAAGCAAAGGCTAAGGAGGGAAAAGAAAAGGCCGCAGGTCTGTTTAAGCTCGTCGAAGGCTACCTCGAAGCAAACCCGGACGCTTACAACTAAATATGTTGAACTATATGCTAGGCAAATTACTTTTTTTTTTTTTCTCTTAAGCAAAAGGGTGTAGCTTTCATGTTGTTTTTTAAGTCCTAGACTTCCAAGGCTTGCCAATAAGAGTGTGGAAATGGGATATTCCACTTTGTATTGAATTGTTTTAGAAAATATTTTACCTTATCATGAATAAGACAATGAAAATTTATCTATCTTGATCGATCCGTCTATTATCTCCATCTTGGTTAATTTTTGACGTCTCCTAAATTTTCTAGCTAGTATGTATTGTATCAGATCTTTATTTTTTTATTTGTTTTGAACAATATACATGTGTAACATTTATTTGATATGTAATTTAATTTAATGCACTAATTTTTGAAGCTTTCGAAAAGGCTGGACTTGAGAAAGTCATACGAATGCCCAAAACCTGGAAGCAAATAAATTTGCCAAAGAAGTAACTTGCAAATGAGAACAGTTTTTAATCTCAATCCTTATCAGTTTACAAATTTCCTTAATAAAAGCGGTGGCCATCAAGGAATCATTTTGAAGAATATTATTATTCAATACCCTTACGAGTTATCATTGAAGCTATCACATTTTCTTATGAATTATAAAATGAATTATATGATTCTTATTACTCCGTTATGGGAGCAATAAGAGTGCTGAAGTTCTTAATAAATTTTTGCTAGAACGACACCATGAAAACTCCTAATGTCAGAAATGGATTAAGGAATAGGCCAATTCTTGATAGCATCCGTCTTACTTGGATCAACATTGATTCCTTCACCTATAAGAAAACCACCTTGTTCGTTAAAATGTGGTACTTCTTAAGATTGGCATAAAGACATTCTCTTCTCAAGACTTCAAACACCATTCGTAAGTGCTCCAAATGCGTTTCAAAGGATGTGCTATACACCAACATGTCATCAAAATAAATTACCACAAATTCGCCCATGAAGGGTTTAAAAACGTGTGTCATCAATCTACTGAATATGCTAGGAACATTAGAAAGACCAAAAGCCATGACCAGTCACTCGTACAACCTTTTGCCGGTTTTGAAAGCCGTCTTCCACTCGTCCCCTAATTGCATTCGGATTTGGTGATAGCCACTACGAAGATAAATTTTGAGAAGACAATAGCCCCATGTAGTTGATCCAAAAGGTCGTATACCAATTTAAAGGAAACACAACACGACCAATTCGTTTATTAAATAGGTCAATACCTTGTCGTGTCAACCTGCAAACACGGTTACTACCTGTATACTTAAATTCAATTATGAATGATAAAAAAATATTAAAAAAATAAAAAATCAACTATATAGCAAAATAGTAAACTAAATGAGAAATTCTATAAAAATGTGAGGAAACTCTAGGGCCTTCCTTATATATCGCCTTTTTTAAAATAAAATAAAAACCATATTTATACATATCTAAATAAAGCAGGTATTAAATGGGTTAAAAATGTGTCGCATTCGTGTCAACTTATTTATGAGACGTTTATTAAACGGGATATTTCGGGTTAATTTCATGTTGGAAGGTTCGTGTTGTGCTGACCCTTTATTTAATCGTGTCTGGTGGGTTAATCCTTTTTTTTTTACCTATTCCTATTTAAAGAAAACTCAAACCCTCTTATTTCGTGTGAATTACATGTCGTGTTATAGTGTCGAAACTCAAATTGTCAGCCCTAATAGTATTATATTTCTCTAATGGCAGGTGTTGGTTACTTGGTTTGGTGATACTTTCTGACTTTATTGTCGTGTTTCAACCTTTTCTGTTTTTATGTCGTTGTGTTTTTTTTTTTTTTTTTTTTTTTTTTTTTTTTTTTTTTTTTTTGGTGTCGTTCAAATTTTTATGTCCTTTTTCCTTTTTGACACCTCTTTCCTTTTTGCAACTCATGTCCTTGTCATTTATTATTCTTGTTTTCCATCTTTGCCGCTTGCTATTTTGCTGCCTTTTCCCGCAATACCGGCAAAGAGCCAAATTCCAAATAGAAGCACAGCAGAACTTGCTCCAAAGTAAGGAACAAACCCAAAACGGACCACATTCCTTTAATCCATAAGAAATAAAGGCCACATTATATAATCCCTAATTTTCTGAATAAAAAAAGAAAGAAAAATTAAAAAAAAATGATTTCGTCAGCCAATTCCCATACCAAAATATTTGTATTCTAGAGGGAAAACTTTTTATATTTAGGATTTATTCTAAAAAAAAAATGATGTAGGATTTGTTGACCAATATTCTAGGCTTTAACTATTCGTATGAACGAAAGTGTAAATTATTTTCGCGAACGTAGAATTTTTAATGGAGAAGTCTCCAATAGTTAATTTCTACCTGTCCTTTTCTGTTTTTGGGTAAGTACACATATGCATGAGATAGCAGGTCCTACTTGGAAGAAAACATAATAATAACAACATTATTGTGTCCCGGCCATTGCTGAAGTGGAAGATTAATTTCTTAATCTGAAAAAACTTTCCAAGCGATTAAGAACTTATATATCTTAAACAAAGCCACAAATTAATAGAATTACTTACATCAACAAGTAAATTTCATATTAATATTTTTTAGAATAAGAAAATTTTAGGACAAGTAACAAGTTTGAAGATATGTTCAAAAAAAAAAATTGAAGAAATGGGATATGTCAAGAATACGAATAACTGTGGGAATAAGATTTTGGAGACCAAAAAAAAAAAACATTTTTCAAATGCTCTAGATAAATTCAGAGAGAGAAGACAGAAGTGCTTACAATTAATATTGTTGATCATTTCTGACTGGCTTGCCTTTTTAGACGTCAACCTTCAACACTTGAAATTATCAAAGAAAACATGCACATGCACTTATGTACACCGTTTCCATTCCCAACAAACTTCCCCAACAAAAGAAAGAATTGGGAAAATAATAGTTTTTCTTGGGAATGCCATTTCTGTAAGTTAGCCGTTTCTCTGAGGATTTACGTGAATTAAATTAAAAAGAATTATGATGATATTTCATCCGCATATGAAAAAGAATTATGATGATATCAAACTCGTATTAGTATATAAGCTCTTAAAAAGTAATGTGAACTCAATATTACCCCTTATGCTTAGTACTGTCGCTTTCGTTTTTGATTTGTTATTGTGTTGCAACTAATTATTTCGTGAGGACATCAATAAAAAAGACAACAAAATATTTTCTTTAAAAAATTATGTTTATTGTCAAAGTAGATCTACTGATGGTAAGACTTGGATCTCTACTCGGCAAAAAGGTAAGGAAAAATTTTACCACTTGGTGAAAAAATGTTTTCTTTCACCTACAACTTATTGGTTTTATTTATTTATTTATTTATTAACATTGTTGTTTTCATGTAAATAAACCTTTTTATACATTTAGGATTACGATAAGTTTGGGCACAAATCGTCACATGATCTAGAATCTAAGGACCAATCCTTTTTATTTATTTATTTAATTTCCCAATTAATAGAACATCAATTCAGGGCGCCCCTTTTTTGACTAAAATGCTACTGATTGAAAAATATAATTTCCTAACAGGACAAAACTAACATAGTTTTCTCAGCAATGCATACGTCCAATAAACGGGGGATTCATCATGGAGGGCAACATGCAGCCTTTGCCTATAAATAGCTTCTCTATATTCACATCTCCTCAACACAAAACACCTCAAAGTTCAAAACAACCCCTCCTTATCTTTTCCTCTTTGATCCCATTCAAAACCTTCGATTATCATGGGTGTTTTCACTTTTGACGATGAGTTCACCTCCACCATTGCTCCCGCTAGGTTGTTCAAGGCCTCCGTCCTCGATGCCGACAACCTTTTCCCAAAAATTGCTCCCCAAGCTGCTGAAAGTGCCGAGACTGTCGAAGGAAATGGAGGGCCCGGAACCATCAAGAAAATCACCTTTCCTGATGGTAAGTAAATTTTTTCTTTTAACCTTCGTGATCCTATGTATTTAGGATTTTTATGACATATTTTACATATCTTCAATTGAAAGAGAGGAATAGAGTCTTTTTTCCTATGATACTTACTAAACTAGGAATGCAGTTTGAATTCCAAATATATACCAATTAATGTATATTTGTACATAAATAAAATAGGCTTTTTCCATTTCAAACTCTTTTTATTTCTTATTACAACCGATAATTTGATACCCTCTTAATATAAAAAAGTACATCAAAGATGATTTATGCAAATTTTGTACCAAATCAAAAGTTTCACGTGAAATTTCATTTGCAGGCAAGTATGTGAAGCAGAAGCTTGATTCAATTGACCACAACAACTTTAGCTACAGCCATAGCTTGATTGAAGGAGATGTTTTGGGTGCGGAACTTGAGAAAATCTCTCACGAGACTAAGTTCGTTGCAACCCCAAATGGAGGAAGCATCATTAAGGTCACTACCAAGTTCCACACCGTTGGAGATGCCCAGTTCAATGAAGCAAAGGCTAAGGAGGGAAAAGAAAAGGCCGCAGGTCTGTTTAAGCTCGTCGAAGGCTACCTCCAAGCAAACCCCGACGCTTACAACTAAATATGTTGAACTCTATGCTTGTCAAATTTCTATTTTTTTTTTCTCCTAAGCAAAAGGGTGTGGCTTTCATGTTGTTGTTTTAGTCCTAGATTTCCTAGGCTTGCCAATAAGAGTGTGGAAATGGGATATTCCGCTGTGTATTGAATTGTTTCAGAAAATGTTTTTACCTTATTATGAATAAGACAATGAAAATTTATCTATCTTGATCGATCCTTCTATTATCTTCATCTTGGTTAATTTTTGACGTCTCCTAAAGTTTCTAGCTAGTATGTATTGTATTGTATCAGCTCTTTATTTTTTTATTTGTTTTGAACAATATACTGTGTAACATTTATTTGATATGTAATTTAATTTAATGCACTAATTTTTGAAGCTTTCGAAAAGACTGGACTTGAGAAAATCATATTAATGCCCAAAACTTGGAAGCAAATAAATTTACCAAAGAAGTACGTAACTTGCAAATGAGAACAGTTTTTAATCTCAATCTTAATCAGCTTACAAATTTCCTTAATAAAAGCGGGGGCCATCAAGGAATCATTTTGAAGAATATTATTATTCAATACCCGTACGAGTTATCAATGAAGCTATCACATTTTCTTATGAATTATATTATCTTCTGTCACTTTATCAGTTATATGATTCTTATTGATTACTGCTTACTAAACTCTCCTTTATATGATAAGTAACATTTCTCTCCTATAATATCTTACCTTATCCTAAAGGCAAATGTCATGAAGAAGTGACGAAACAAAAAAAAAAAAAAAAAAAAAGAAAGAGAGAAGAAGAAGATAAGTCTGTTCAAAGGAACATGTTCACAAAGTACTTTTATAATTCAGTTTTTTACATTCAACTTCTATTGTGTCCGTTGATAGTGAGAGTATGCATAATTTCAGAAGGCGTGAACTCCACAACTATTATAGTTAAGTATTACTTTTGCAAAGTTATGAGAACATGGTATTAAAAGATAGGGGAAGCAATATTTTTGTTGACAACTTAGAATTTTTGTACATTTAACAAATAAAATTTTATAATAGACGAATATGTTAGATAATTGTAGATTATTACATTTATTCCGGTATCCAACAAAAACAAACCCGTTAGTAATTGTAATATTAATTTCCATATTGGCTGCTAAGAAAGCTTCGTTTAGCTTGAGCAACACTACCAGTTAGAAGTGCATCTATCTGGATATATGACCAAGTTCAAGATCTTAGCCAAGAACCAAACAAAAACAAAAACAAAAAGTGTATAACTTTACATAGAAACTACTTTTAAGAAATAACATTGTAATTAGTCTAAATTGGTCGGCCAGATTAGATGGGTTAAACTCGTTACTCTTTTTTTTTTCAGACCTTAGGGTGGACGAATTCAAACTTAACACCTTATAGTGATGTCGACCGGTTGTATTGTTCTAAGATTTTTGTCTACTGTTAGTATGTAATTAGTATCACAATCAAAGTGTAATCATGTATGGAGTTTTTACTTAAACAGAAGTTTGTGTAATTCAATGGCAAAAAGTGTGCACATCAAGATATTTAAAAAAAAAAATACTAAAACCTATGAATTCTAGGAGGATATTTTTCTAATAATTGATTTATTTGTTGACCATGCTATGCTTTAACTAATTAGATGAAAAGAAAAAAGTGGATAGTATTTTCATCAATATAGATTTCTTGATGGAGAGGTTTTGTTAATTGCTAATTTCTACCTGTCCTTCTCTGGTTGTGGAGTAACAAGTATTTATGACATAGCAGGTCTTCTTACAAATATATAGTAATAGCAAAATCGTTGTGTGCCTTGGCAGAAGTGGAGAATTTTTTTCATCTGAAAGTGCTTTCGAAATTATCTTTCAACAAGAAAGAGCGAAGAATATCTTAGGAAAAGACAACTGTTTTTAAACACTCTAGTAGATTGAAAAGAAAAGAGATAAGTCATACTGATAGTACTAAATATTGTTGATTTCTGACTGGCCGGCATTTTTATAAGTCAAACTTTAAGGGTTGTTTATTTTGTATACTCAAATTTAAATTATTAATTTTACTATAATATTTCTTTTTTATAAAAAATTTTAATTTTAAATGTAAGAATCAAGAATCATGAGGTATGCCATTCCATTCTCATTCCTAACCAACACTTCCCAACAAAAGAAAAGGTAGAAAAATAGTTTAAAGAAGTTAAGAGGAAAAAATTCCCAACTAGTGACGGACAATATATATATATATATACTGCTTTCCGATATTTTATTTTCATGCACATGAACCTTTGTACACGTTTAGGATAAGTTTGGCAAATCGTCAACATCATCTAGAATCTGACGACCTTCTTTTATAATTTCACCAATAGAGCCTCAACTTAGAGGCACGCCATGTTTGACTAAAATATTACCTATTAAAAGTTAGAGTTCATTCAGTGTGAAGATTTAAATTAGGGTAATTTTAATTTTAATTTTAAAATTAAAATTATGATTTATAATTTTAGGTCTAAATCATAGTTTTAAAATTAGAATTAGGTGTTTGAATCATTTAAAATTAAAAAGGGTGGTCTAGAATTAAGGGTGATTCATGATTTAAAATATCACATCACGGTTCAAATTTTAAATCAGAATCATCCTAACTAAATGCTAATTCTGGGTGAGTCAAATCAAAACTAATTTTTAATTTTTATAAACAAACATTAATTCTGAATCATAATCATAATTCTAAATTCAGAACCCCTACACCAAACAACACCTTATATAATTGCCTAACAGGACAAAAATAACATTAGTTTTATCACCGATGCGGACGTCCAATAAACAGAGGATTCTTCATACAGAGCAATCTGCAGCCTTAAGCCTATAAAAAGAACCTCTATATGCACTTGTCTTCATCACAAAACAACACAAAGTTCAAAACAACCTTCCTTATAATCTTTTCCTCTTTGATCCACTTCAAAACCTCAAATCATCATGGGTGTTTCCACTCACAACGACGAGTTCACCTCCACCGTTGCCCCCGCCAGGCTGTTTAAAGCTGCCGTGCTTGATGCCGACAACCTTTTCCCAAAAATTGCTCCCGATGCTGCTAAAAGCGCCGAGAATATCGAAGGAAATGGAGGGCCCGGAACCATCAAGAAGATCACCTTTCCCGATGGTAAGTAAACTTTTCTTTGTTTTAATGTCGGTGATCATGTGTATTTAAGATTTTGGTGACATATTTTACTTTTCTTTTTCCTCTGTTCATGTGTTTATTTAGTAAACTAGGAATACAATTTCAGTTCCTAATATGTAAATATAAAAATAGTAATTAACAAGTTTGTACTCAAATATAATGATGTTTCTTTCTATTTCAATTTTGTTTTTCCTTTCTTATTACAACCGAGTGGATACCCTCTTGATGAAAGTACATCAAAGATGATTTATGCAAATTTTGAACCAAATGTTCTAAAAAGTTTCATGTAAAATTTGATTTTCAGGCAAGTATGTGAAGCAGAAGCTTGATGCAATTGACCACGACAACTATAGCTACAGCCACAGCATAATCGAAGGAGACGTTTTGTCCGCCGACATTGAGAAAATATCTCACGAGACCAAGTTTGTCGCAGCCCCGGGCGGAGGAAGCGTCATTAAGGTCACTACCACGTTCCACACCGTCGGAAGTGCCCCGGTCGATGAAGCGAAGGCTAAGGAAGGAAAGGAAAAGGCCGCAGGTCTGTTTAAGCTCGTCGAAGGCTATCTCGAGGCAAACCCCAGCGCTTACAACTAAATCTGTCGAACTTTATGTTTGTCAAATTACTTTTTTCTATAAGCTAAAGCGTGTGGTTTTGGATTTCTTGCCAATAAGAGTGTGGAGTTTTGATAATCCTGTTTGCATCGAAATGTTTGAGAAAGTATTGTATCTTTTATAAGTAATAATATAATGAAAATATATCTTGCTCTAAAAGAGTTCTTGTGATTTAAGATCTGTCTGTGATCTCTACATATTGGTGAATTTTTGTTACATCTTTGAGTAAGTATTGTATCACATCTTCTTTTTTTTTTTAAAGAAATAAATAAATAATATACTGAATCACATCTTTGATATGTAGTTTAGTACTGCAATTTTGAAGCTGGATATGACGAAAACTTTGAAGCTAATAATTTCACCAAAGAAGTGACCTGCAAACGAGGACATTTTTTAATCTCAATCCTAATCAATTTACAAACTTTCTTAATAATAAAGGTGGCCCATGAAGGAATCATTCTGAAGAATATCCAATGCCCCTGTTAAAATTGAATCAATCTCATTCTTTTTATAGCGATGTTAATTTTCGTCAGTTTTTAGACTTCTTTAATGAAATAATTCCTCATTCTTACGTAGTTTTAAGATTTGCGTTTTTAAGTCAGATGTAACATTTCTATCCCACAATATCTGTCCTTATCCTAAAGGTAAATGTCATAAACAAGATAATAAATTTCCAGCAGCAGCAACAGGGTCTGCAGAGTAATTGCACTCTGTATACTAAATTGTTTAACGGCCCCCATTATTTATGTGACATGTAGGCCTGTTTGGAATAGATTCGTTTTTTTTTTTTTTTACATTTTTTGAGAAAAAAAATGTAAACGTTTTTAAAACGGTGTTTTGCGTAATAAAGATAAAAAATGAAAATAACAAGAAGTTTTTTATTAGTATAAAATGAGAGAAAAATAAAAAACGACTTTTAGTCATTTTTTATTTTTTGTTTTCATTTTCTCCTCTCTCGAGTAGAGAGAGAGAAAGATAGACATTATGGAGTTTTTTTACTCTGAAAATAATCTCTTGATAAAACTATCAAACGTATTTTTAAAAATAATTTATGTCTGAGATTAAAAACGTTTTCATTTTTATTTCATACAAAAAAATAAAATCATTTTAGAATGACTTTTTTTTTTTTTTGGTTACTGTCTCATAGATCGGAAGGGCGGATATTACGTTTTTTTGGTGGAAAAGCGGATATTACGTTTTGTTGATCAGCTGGCAACATTCTTGCAAGAATTATAATAGGGTGATTTTTTGTAATTAATCCCAACTTTTATTATGCCCATTGACAGTGAGAATAAAGTAGTAGACGTTGGTGAAAGTAGTATTTGTTGACGGCTGAATTCTGCCAACAGAAATACGCCGGGTTACCCGTTGGTATCCTGTTGGGTTACTGGCTGGAAATTAATGGTATATTTGAAATCAAGTTGTGAAGTGTTTGTTGTGTTTTGTAAGCATGAGTATAACACTTGAATGAGAGGACACACGAGATTTATAGTGGTTAACTCTGTTAATAAAGAGCTACATCCACTTATGTATGATATACTTTTCTTGGACTCTTTACAATTTACATGCACGTATACTCTCTATTCCTTAATCCTCCAGAGGTCCCTTTAGTGTATGGGGCTTTGCCCCTTTTATAGCTCAAGCTTCCTTCGTGGGTGGTTTTCCTTTGTAGGTAGAAGTACTCGAGTGGCCTACCTCTCTAGGCTAAGACCGTAGCCCACTAATCACCTTTTGGACTGTTCACTAAGCCAATTGGTCTTCTATTACGGTTCTGTGGATTCCTGTAATCTCTTACTGCCCACTGCAGGGCGGTTTAGGGGTTTGCAATTAATGCCCGTATTACAGATGTCTCCCACCCTTAGACGCAACTTGTGATGTCAGGTTTCTTTCTGAATAGTGTTCCCATCGGCATCTGTGCCACGCAAACCTTATGTTCTTTCCGATAGTGGACCCTTTCCGAAGGTTGTTGCATAAGTTCGGCGGCACAATTGGTCGACGCCCTAATTTGGGCCTTTCTTTGCAACGTCGAAGGTAGTTGAACTCCAAGCGTCGAGGGTAGTCGGACTCCAAGCGTCGAGGGTAGTCGGACTCCAGGCGTCGAGGGTTGCCACTTTTTGAGGGAAAGTAGGGCCACGTGTCACGCTGTCGCCATTCCACATGTCACCCACATTTTCCCACACAACAGCTGCCCCCCAGGTCGAGGGTTTCCTTTAGATAGCCCTCGAGCTAGATTCAGGTGTCTTTCTGTGCCTTGGGTGTGGGAACCCAATTCTGAGCCTTCCCTCGTAATGATAGCCTTGACGCTTCGGCTCTCCTCGAGGAATGTAACCGTCGCGTCGGTCAATTCGCCAGGCTGGCGTAGGGCTTCATTTTTGAAAAAGCGAATATGAGCCCATTGATCGTGCCCCCTCACCTTCCCGCCTTTGTTTGTTACTGTCAAATCTGGGGAAGATGCCCCTGCCGTTGGATTTTATGAACTTAATCTAACGGCTAGGGGTAGAGGGTTTGTCTTCCTTTAAATATCCATCGAGCCGAAGCCATTTTTTACCAAACTTCTTGAACTTCTGTCATTCTGCCTAAGTTCTTTCTTGCAAACTCCTACTCGCATCCCTTGCTCTCCTCGGTGTTTTGCGAAGATATCTCAGAACTCGCCTTTGCCCAGATTCCATCTTACAGGTAAGCTTTAATGATTGCTCGTTCGTATTCGCTTTAATAACTTTCACTGTCTTTCCTATCGAACCACAGATATGTCAATATGTGGAATGTATGGGATAAAGACCTTACCATTTGCTTTGCCTAACCCATATAGGATAGTTTTCCTGATTTCTGGTTGATTGTGGTTTCTAACTCCTGGGTTCAAATGAACCTCGTTTGTTTATGAACATTCGCCATCACCATTTTTGTATGAATGGTCGATGTTATATTTGAGAGCTGCTAGTGGTAATTGAGTAGTCATCGCTTTAGTATGGTCGTCGTTTGCTTCTTCCTCTCGACTTAGGATTTTGACTTAGCTCCTTTGTCTTTTTCACCGCCAGAACAATGGCCTCAAACCCCACTCGTCGAGAGGATCCATCCGTTGTACAACCAGACTCCCCTTCCGTGGTGGAGATCTCATGGTCGTCTTCTTCATCAGATGGCAACTCAATATTGAGTGAAATAGAAGAGTATATGGGCGGACCAAGCGAGGGTTTCGGTGACGAGTTTGACAACGTTGACCGTATGCTGGAGGAAGAAGTAAATAAGATTCCCTTCATGGGAGGCAACGTATGTAAGTTGCTGCTTCAATGGTGGATGCCCCCTTGGCTGCTACGAGCGGCGACCCAGACAGGCCATTTTTTACGGCTGGTGTCATGGCGTCGAGCGTCCGAAATAAAGATATTATTCGGGCTGTTAGGGAAGGTTGTATCGACGGGAGGTGGCTTGAGTACCTCTTCCCAGATTTACATTTGAGGACTAGCATGCCTCCTATCGGGTATCTCCCCGTGTATACTCGGGCTATTACGGCGGGGATGGCTTTGGCAGTTCATCCCTTCATTAAAGACTATTGCCATTTTTATGGCATCTCTCCTGCCCAATTGGCGCCGAATTTTTGGTACTGTTTTGACGACGCCTGGGTTTTTTAGAGCCAGCGGTTTGATATGGATCTACCGCTGGATGAATTTATGTTTATGTACAGACTATGCCACGTCGCCAAATGCGAGGGATGGTATTTTTTGAGTGGACATGGGCGATCCTAGCCTAGGCTTGGAACGCTGATATGAGGTATCCCCTCGTCGTCACATGGGTGGAAACCCATGTTTTTCATGATTCGGAGGCTTTTTCATTTTCACCCTGAAGACCATTTGCCCCGCCGTAGGAAGGTGCAAACTTCGTTTGGAAATATGGGTGAGAATTTGATACTTCGTTCTTTTCCCTTTTTCCCTTCTTCTCCCTTTTTTTTACACGCTAACAGTTCTTTTATCCTTCAGTCAGCCACGATCGGTCGAAGGTCTCTGAAAATAGATTGGCGAGGGTTGAAAATGCCTTTTTGTGTTCAGAGAAGGCTTGCCATATCGACACCCTCTTAACTAAGCGCAACCTTAGAGAGGCAGGGTTGATTCTTGACCTTCCAGACCCTTATGATCTTCTCGTCGTCCGGGAATATTTTCATTTTAAGAGATGAAGGTAAGCTCCTGGACTTGGCTCGACGTTTCCTTTAATCTTCTTTGGCATAACTGTTCGTTGACTACATGCTGACTGGTCGTTTGCTCATAAATGGCCTCTTTGAGGATTCAGCTTCCGGGCAACCAGCAGTCTCTGCCTGTCCCGCAGCCCAAAGTGAAAGAGAAAGCCAGCACATATTCTCCGGTGCCGAAGAGAAAGAAGACCGCGGAGGTTTCTTCGGGGTCAAGGGTGGAAGCTCTTGTGCCTAAAAGAGGGCGCAAAGAGAAGGCGTCGGTGACTAGGACTTGGACGCCGGTAGTTCCGATCCCCGATGTTGCCGGTATGCCTCTGGCGCCTAGGGAACGCATGATTATGCCGGGTGCAAAAGTTATGGATTCCAACTTCCAAGTCCCAGATATTTCTGACGCCGAGATTGAGGCTGAAGCTTCCTCCCCATTTTTCCCTCATCTTCCAGGCCTTGTACGAATCATTCCTTGAGCCGCACTGGATCTGCGCCGCTCAGTCTTCTCTAGTGGATCGTCAGCGCAAGCAAATTTCCTTCCAGATTCATGTAAGTTTCGACCGTGCTTTTTTCATTTTAAGATTCATTCTTCATATCTTTATTCTGACTCCCAATTTTCTCAGGGCCTAGTCCTTGCCATTCTCAATCTTATTGATCTGGTCAAGGTTGAAGAACGTGGCAAGGAGAGGGACAGCCTGGAAGCCAAGCTTAACTCTCTTCTTGGCGCTGCCAATAAAAAGTGCTTGTCTACCGTCGAGGAGAGGGACGTAGCTGTGGCCAAGCTGGAGAGTTTGGAAGGAGAACTGGCCAAGTTGCCGAGTCTTGAAAATGAGTTGGCCAGTCTGAAGGCCACGGTTGAAGAACTTACAAGACGGGCGGAAGCCTCTGAGAAGAAATCGGCCAAAGCTACGAAGGCTGTGAAGAAGTGCTTTGCCAAGAGAAAAGCTTAAGGGAAGAAAGAAGCTGAAGCT